CTGTCTTCCTTGAGACAGCCCCTTCAAGTAAGTCTGCACCTCCTTCCACTGCACTTGCATAGAGCCATACATAAAGCATTGAAACGAGCCTTTGGTCCAACCAGTCTATGCTGACCATAATCCCAAACTTTAGTCCCACCTGCCAGGTTCTCTATCCCTCAACATTTCCTATTCTTGTAATTTTTTAGTACCTGTCTCTACACTTTACATGTACCATCCACTGTATAAAAAAAGTTCCCCATGTCTTTTTAAATCTTCCCCTTAATGTGCCTCCTAGTCTTGAAAGCCCCCATCCTAGGGCAAAGGCAACTACCATTAACTCTCTCTATACCCCTCATTATTTAAACGGCAAAAGGTTGCCCCCTCAACTGTCTATGCTTTAGTGAAAAGTCCCAGCCTTTCCTTAACTCAAACCTTGCATACCCAGCAACATCCTGGTAAATCTCTTCTGGACCTCTTTAAAGTTTAGTAGTAACCTTCCTATAACTGGGTGACTAGAACTAGACAGAAGGCCAGTAGTATACACAGTACTTCAGATGTGTTTCCAACATTGCCTGTTTGCTTTCAATTCCCCTCAGTAGAAATAGCACAGCTTTCCAAATTACTTGCTGTACCTGCACACTAGCCCTTTGAGTCTTACCTGAGGACACCCAGATCCCTCCATCTCCAAACTTTCAAATCTCTCCCAGTTAGACTTCCACAAACTTCATTTGCCACATTTCTCCATTCTCAACCTATCAATCTTTTTGTAGCATCTTTTTTGTTCTCTTCACAATATACTTTGCTACCTGTCTTTGGTCACCATATTTACTGACAACATACTTGTCCCTCACTATTTCCCTTGTAGAAATTAAGTATTTGAGGACCCTGTGATCCACCACTCAATACATTTTGCCACCCAGTAAAAGACTAACTAACAAGCTGAGTAGACAGTCTTCCATCCATGCCAGTATGATGCTCATATGCTGTTGGCTTTCCTGCAGTAACCTTTGTGGTATGTTGTGGAAGCCTTCTGAAAGTTGAAGTGCTGCACATCTACTAGTTTGCCTGTATCCACATGACATTTTATTTCCTTAGTCTGAAACTGGTGAAGTGTGATCTCTCTTGAACAAAATCGTGCAGCAAGCTTTAGCTGACACCTTGTGAACCAGCACTCAAACCAGAAATTATACCTGAAATGATGAGTATTCTCTATCAGCATGATTTGTACAATGTCTAATAGTTGAGGCTCCAAGTGAGAAGGCTGTTTGCTAAGCTTTATTTATGGCAAAGTTGCATTACTGATTTATGCTGTAAATAAGTGTGTATACCCCACATTACATTTATATTGTGTTTCCACATTGATAATGTGGACCTCTTGATCAACCACTACACCCTGGTCCCAATGGGTGCTGGTCAGTCATCCCTGTAATGGTTAAGCTAACAGCTCCTGCTTTGTCTCCCTCTCTCTCCAACTAAATGAATTACATTTGCTATCTTCTAATCTAATGCAACCAATCCTGACTCAGTTTTGGAAAACTGAAACAAATGCATCAACCATCTCCTGTGCAGCTACTTAAGGCCATTGGATGAAGTCCATCAGAACCTGGGTACTTGTCAGTCCACAGCTCCACTTTAGTATTACTTCTCTGGTTGATTTGGAGTTCCTCCCTCCCATTTCTGGATTCAGTGTGAAGACTGAGGCAAAATACCATTTGTTTGCCAATTCTTCCTTTCCATTATTAACTCTACAGTCTTTGGTCCTATAGAATAAATATTCACTTAACTTTTAAATATTTATAGATACTTGTTGTTCCAGCAAGCTTTCTCTTGCTTTACCCTCTTAGTAATTCTTTACTTTCTAATATTTGTTCCAATTTTCTGACCTGCCACCAGTCTTTGAACAATTAAAAGCTTTTCCTTTTAGTTTGATTGTTATCCTTGTGTTGACCATAAATGTTGAGTCTGTCCCTAAGATGCTCTTACTCAATGCACTAAACTGTTCTGCAATATCCTCAAATGTCTCAGTGCATCTCAACTCCTTTTTAATCTAACTTGCCAGTTTGCTTTAGCCAGCTCTGCTTTCATGAACTTATTTTCTTAGTCTCAGACCCATTCCCCTCTCCCTCAAATTGAATATAAAATTCAGCTGTATTGTTGCTGCTACTTCAGAGCAGCTTTGCTGAGGTCCTATCTGTGGCACAAGGCCATGCCTGGTATAGCCCAGTCTGGCTCCAGAATGTAGTGTTCTAAGAAAATAAATTAAAATTTTGCAATGGGTTCAAAACTCAGGAACTGCCCTTGAGTTAAATTGACATTAACAAGTGACAGGAGCAAAATCTCAGATGGAGGGTTGCTTTTAGTTGGACACTAGGGTGTGCTGGAGTCTCTCCTGAATATGCCATGTGTTCTAGCTGCAGTACTAACTTATTCTTGTTCTACAGCTGTTTGAAACTGCAAACAAGTACCACTTCCTCCACAGCCTGGCTCTCCTGGGTGCTCCCCACTGCAGGAAACCTCTGCTGGTATGAGACTTTCATTGCTTCTAGTTTTACTGCTTTCCCCCCAACTGTTGATTCATCTGTCAATGGCTCTACCAGTGTCCCTTGTACCTTTTTCTGAAGCGGGGTCTAGGCCCGAAACGTCAGCTTTCCTGCTCCTCTGCTGCTTGGCCTGTGTTCATTCAGCTCTACATCTTGTTATCTCCCTTATACCCTGATTGTGTAGCTAAGTCATCTACAGTGCCTGCACAACCCAATGAAATATCTCACTCATCAGTGTTCAGAACTTCCATTTAGAGTGGGATGAGTTTGGAGGATTTTTATTTGCCTGCCCCTGGCATTGTATCCCACAAAGATTGCTGGCTTTGGAGTTCATGTAGTGATTGTCTCTTGTGTACGTAAAGCATTCCCAGCTAGCAATCTATGCATTACATGTCTGAGCCTAACCTGTTCTCACCCAACCTTACTCCTGTGTAGGAGTTGTTAGACAGCAAACCCAAGACAGGTGAATACCAAAGTTTAAATGTGTACCTTCAGAGTCTGTACAACTTAACCCAACATGAGATGTGTGCAGCTGATGCTGTAGATCTTTGCCCAGCTAAAATGAGGCATCCTACTTGATTGGCATCATAGCCACAAGCGTTTCCCTCCCTTCTCCACTGTTCAATTGTAGCAGTGCACCATCTGGAGATGCACTGCAGAAACTCACCTTACAGCACCTTCCAAGGCCATGAATGCTACTGTTTGGAAGAACAGATACATAGGAACACCACCTGAGATCCCTCTCCAAGCCACCCACTATCCTGAATCGGAAATGTATTGTTGCCCCTTCAGTGTTACTTGATTGAAATCCCTGAACTTCCTCCCTAACAGCACTGTTTCTGCACCACAGTGACTCCAGTGGTTCAAGAAGGTAGCTCACCACCTAGGCTTTGAGGCCCACTGGGGATCAGCAATAAAAGCCAGTTACCACGAAAGGTGGCTGTGGTTAGCACAAGTGCCTGGGTTCACTTCTACCCTCGAGCTGTGTGGAGTTGGCACATTCTCCCCATGTCTGCATGGGTTTCCTCCCACAGTCCAAAGGTGTGCAGGCTAGGTGGATTGGCCATGCTAGATTGCCTGTAGTGTTCAGGGTTGTGTAGATTAGGTGGGTTATTGGGAATGGGGCTGGATGGGATGCTCGGAGGGTCAGTGTGGACTTGTTGGGCCAAAGGTAGCCTGTTTCCATACTGTAGGGATTCTAAATTGAAGTCTAAACCCATTGACTAGTTTCAATAGTGAATTTTTTGCTTCCAGTTGCTGCACCTTCAGAAGTAACCTTGCATTGTACTGACCTGAATATCATTGAATTGTAGGCTGGCTCCTTGCTGACCTCTGGCATGGTGATGTTCTGTGGTTCCCTCTACTATCAAGCTGTGACTGGAGATCCAAAGTTCACCAAAGCTGCACCATATGGAGGAACCATTCTGATAGTGGGCTGGGCAGCCATGGCACTCTGAGCTTGGCAGGAAGCAGGGCAAGGGAGCATGCTGAGCAGACAGGTGGAATTTGACAGGCTTTGAGGGTACAAATTGGATTGGGAACCCCCCTCGCCCCCAGCATGTATTCAGGGACCCTCCTCTGTAAGGCACCCATGAGCAGCCTCTACTCATTCCACTGGTCTGAAGCCAGTGCTCCAACCTGCTAGGGCTATTTTGATCACTTGCTGTGCTAAGTTGTTGATCTTGCCTTCAATCCTGCTTGTGTCCATTCCATCTTGTCTCAGTCCACTGAGCAGAGCCTGTTATGTGCTCATTAACTTGGCCATGCAGCAGAATATCAACCATGATGTGACAAGTCCAGAATGTATTGTACAGAAGATGGCTCACCTTCATCATGCATCACATTGGTCTGCCAATTGGCCAAGAAACAAGATTAGACTTTCAGTATTGCTGAAAGGACCAGTGTTATCAAGTTTGTCCTGATGAATGCAAGAATGCCAAATATCAAAGGATTGCTGATTTTTACTCTGGGGCGGGAAACAGGGGACTGATTGTTTGCAGTTTGGCTTTCTTGAGAGTTGGTCCTGACTAGCACAAGACAAATGGCATTCACAACATGTATCCTTTCAGCAAACTTGTTTTGTACCAGCAAATAACTGACACATTCAGACTGAGGTGGTGACTTAACAGACTCAGCTGTTCCTGTTAGCCACACTTTTCAGGTGATGGTTGTGGGGTGGGCTTGTCTGAAGTGAGCAAGGTGAAAAATCAGACCACCACCACCCCTCCTGGTGCCAGTGAGCTGGGCATCCCACTGGTACTGTCCTGCACTGGATTGAATATTGAAGGTACTGATACAAGGCCATCCTCTTCATGGAATATTTATCCAATTCAGCAATACAGTTGGGAATACAATGGTAACCTCTAATGGTGGGAGCAGGGGGAAAATTGTGACCTGTTGCTACTCTGACCCTCTGTGGCCTGATTTTAGACTTGATACCTGTTTTGGGGAGGGAGGAAAAAAATGTTACTAGTGCCCCTGCTACCTTTATTTGAGCTTCAAATTCCAAATCCGCTGTTCACTTGTATCTGGTCTGTCTCTGGGAGGACATTTAGCAGGTGCAGTTTGGAATTGCTAGATTTATATAAATTGTGACACTAACTAGAATGTAATGCAGTGCAATGTCTGGTGATGTACCTAAATTAACTGACTTTTAATTCAGACTTTTGTACAAAAGCTGTATAAAATGTTTTTATTGCCTTGTGTTTGTCAGATTTTGTTTTTCAGTGAAATCTTCATTTCAAAATGAGGACTGCCTTGAAGTGAAGATAATACTTTAAGGGTCAAGTCTTTAGTGAAGAAAGCTCCAGAAAAGTGGAGGCAGCTGCTATTGAGTATTTAAGGCAGCTAGATTATTGACTAATATGTTGAAGAATATTGGGGCATGGACAAGAATGTGGAGCAGCCTCAAGGGGCTAAATGGTGTACATTTGTTAGTATCTTAATGACATTCCCAGTACCACATTGAGTCCTGCCCTGTCAGATGCTCTTTCAGATGAAACACTGACATTACCCTCTTTTCACTGGATCTAAAATGTTCTGAGCTATTGGAATAAAGATTGAGGGCTGGTTGGATGTGGGAGTTCTAACTGGGTCACTTTTCCTGAGCCAGTATTGTAAAGTAGATTCCAAAAATAGACATTACTGCAAAAGCTTGGCAGGACTGGCAGATCTGGAGAGCAAGCCTAGTTAATGTTTCAAGTCCAGTGACCCTTCAAGGATCCATTCTCTCTCAATACTGCCCCAACAGCACCTTTCCTGCAATGGCAGGTGTAATACCTGCCTGTTGAACTGAGGTCTGGATTTGATTACCTCATTCCCAGTTTTCCTTTGCAGTGGTGTGTGTATATATAGGGTCTAGCTCTGTTTGTTGATCTCCTTGGTGGAGAGCCAGGCCTCTAAGAATTCCTGTGTTTCTCTGTTTGGCCTGTCCTAGGATCCTGGTGTTGTCCCAATTGAACTGTTGGTTCTCCATATCTGTGAATGGAGATGAATAAGTATTGGTTATGTCTTTTTTGTTGCTAGTTGGTGTCCATGTACTCTTGTGGCCAATTTTCTTCCTGTCTATCCAATGTAATATTTGTTGCAGTCTTTGCATGGAATTTTGTATGTGTTCATTCTGTCCCTAGTGCATAGGGTGTCTTTGGTTTGAGTTAGCAGTTGGTGTAGGAGTCTTGTGGTCAGATTGGATGTGTTCCTGATGTATGGTAGTGTGTTAGTGTGCAGTATCTTGTTTGTGTGATAGGCATCATCAGACTCAGCTGTTCAGGTCTCTGCTGTTCTTATACTTGGAGGTACACTCTTCTTTTGGTGTAGTTCTGGGTTCTGACAGTGTTGCCCATTTTGGTGTTTTCACACCACCTTATGGGTGTTTATAGGGTGGTTACTGTAGAGTTTCTGTACTTGGTCACAGAAAAGCCACACTGACAAAGTTGTGTGAAAATGCTATATAGCAACCTGGAACTATGCCAAACAGTACCTCCAAGTATTTAAGGACAACAGATACCTGAACAGCTGGGTCTGATGATGCCTATATCTCAAACAGGAAGATACTGCACACTCTAACATGTCAGTTACCATACATCAGGAACACATCCAAACTGACCATAAGACTCCTACAACCATTGGGCATCAGTAGCACAAACCCAGCTCAACCCTGCAACTAACTCAAACCAATGTACAAAATTTCCCCCATGTTGCTTTTGTTGTTAGGACTCTCTGCTCTTGCACAGTTTGAAATAGATTACCTTTTTAAATTCTTCCTACCAAAGGGAACCATGAATCCTACTGCAGTGGGCCACAGCAACAGCCTGCATTTATCAGATAGTAAGAACTGACAATGCTAGATCAGAGATAAGTGTGGAGCTGGAGGAACACAGCAGGCCAGGCAGCAGCATAGGAGCAGGAAAGTTGACATTCTGGGTCAGGACCCTTCAGAAATGGGGAGGGGGAAGGTGGGTGGGATAGTGATAGTTGCATACAGATAGGCAGTGGTGGGGATTGGTCAGTGGGGTGGATAGGTGGGAGAGAACATGGACAGGTTGTCAGGTCAAGGTGGGGATGAGAGGGAGGCTTGGACATGGGATGAGAAGATTGTAAAACTGGTGGATTCCATGTTTAGGCCATTGGACTGTAGGCTCCCACAGCAGAATGAGGTGCTGCTCCTCCAGTTGACAAGTGGTGTCATCATGACACTGGAGGCCCAAGGAGTGAGTTAATGTTTCCCAACCAGAAGGTGTTGTCATTTGTCACAAACAGTGCAGGTGCTCTACAAAGCAGTCTCCGAGCCTCTGCTTGGTCTCTGTAGAGGCACACTGGGAGCAGTGGATGCAATAGATGACTTTGATGGATGTGCAGGTGAACCCCTGTCTGTTTGGGGCCTGGGATGGAGGTGAGGGGGGAAGTGTAGGGGCAGGTGTAAACTTCCTGCAGTTGCAGAGAAAGGTGGTGGGAGTGTGGAGTGGACAAGGGACTGGTCTCTGACTCCCTATGAAAGATAGATAAGAGTGGGGAGGGAAATATCTTTGATTGTGGGGTTGGATTGTAGGTGGCAGAGAATCATAAGTTAGATATGGAGGTTAGTGGGGTGATATGAGGACAAAGGGGGTTCTTTGTTTTTGTTGCCAGGAGGGGATATAAGGGCCTGGGTGCAGGAAATGCAAGAGATGTAGTCGGGAGCATTTTTGATCACCGACGGGATGTCATGGTCCTTGAAATATCCAAACATCCTGGATGTTTGGGAGTGGAATGCCCCATCTTGGGAGCAGATGCAGCAGAGGAATTGAGTAGGGGATCCGCATTCTTGCAGGTGGGTGAGGTGTAGTCTAGGTAGCTGTGGGAGTTGGTGGGCTTGAAATAGATGTTGGTTTTGAGGCAGTCACCAGAATTTAAGACAGAGGTCCAGGAAGGGGAGAGAGATATCAGATGGTCCAGGTGAATTTGAGGTTGCTGTGAAAGCTGTTAGTAAAGTTGATGAACTGTTCAAGCTCCTTGTTGGAGCATGAGGCAGTGCCAATACAGTCATGTAGCAGGAAGAGGTGGGGGATAGTGCCAGTGTATTATCTAAGCCTGCATTTATATCGTGCCTTTTAATATAACCCAAGGTGCATTATGGGAGCTTCCTAAAGCAGCTCTTGACCATGAGCCACTTAAGGTATTCATCCAACTGACCAAAAGCTTAGGCAGAGGGTTAGGCTTTAAGGACAAGTGTTTAGGTGGGAAATGCCAGAGCTTAAGGCTCCGGCACTGCTGCCAGTGGTGGAGCCTCTGCCCAGCATCGATTGCTTAAGTGTCTGGAGATCAGTGGAGCAGCATGAAGGTTGAGGACTGGAAGATGAGGGAGAGAGGTTTGCAGGAATAGAAGGATACAAAAGCAAGATTGAGTGTTTCAAGGTTGAGGCTTTCAGTCTGGGAGCCATATAGGCCAAAAACACCACAATGATGGTGAGCAGGACCCAAGTGAGGATGCAGGCCAGCAGAGCTTTGGAAGAACCGGAGTTTGCAGAGACCAGGCAGGACTCTGCTAGATTAGCCAAATCTGGGGGAGGAAAGGTGTTGATAACGGTTTCAGCAATAGGACTAGGTGATAGTCTAGAAGTGAAAATAAAAACAAATTGCTGAAGAAACTCAGCAGGTGAAGAGAAAGCAGAGTTAATGTTTTGAGTTTGGTAACCCCCTGCCCCCTCAGAACTGATGGTAGCTGGAAAACCCCAGATGATTTTTATATCCTGGCTATAAGCTCACATTGCCTTATTTGGAAATGTACAGTACAAAAATTGACTGACAAACTGATTCCTTTTTCAGTGTTTTCTGTCTTTTACTGTTGCACCAAATTTTCAGTGGTGCCAGAGCTGTTCTAGTCAAGGTCACCAGGCAGGCAATGGTATAGCAGTAATGTCACTGAGGTAGTAATCCAGAGCCCTGGGCTAATATTTTGGGAATGTGGGTTCCAACCCCACCATGAGTCATGAAACTTGAATTCTGTAAAAGTCTGGCATAAAATGTTAATCTAATGGTGATTATGTAGCTATTGTTGTAAAAGCACATCTGCTTTATCATTGACCTTTGGGGGGGAAAAATATACTGTTCCCACTTGGTCTGGTCTACCTATGTCCAGATCATAGCAATGAATCTTAGCTGCCCTTGGGCAATAAATACTGGTCTAGACAGTGGCACCCACATTTCATCAATTCTTTCTTACATTTCTGTTTGTCTTAATGTGCAGAAAATCCTGTTTCCCTGGCCACTGCCTGTGCTCACACTGGCTCCCAGCAAATTTAGTTTTCATATAAGATCATCAAATATAGCAGTAGGAGGCCATTCTGGCCCACCATTCAATCAAACTGGGGCCTTCACTCCAGCTTCTTGCCTGAACACTGCAGTCCATGACACCCTTGTTGATGACAAATCTCAACTTTACCTTAACAATTATTTAATCCCACTGCTTTCTTGGAGAGAGAATTCCAAAAATTCTGGAGAAATTCATCCCTAAATCTCTTGTTTTGGACTCCCCTACCCTGGGCAAAAGACCTATTTACCCTATCCATGCCCCTCATGATTTTATAAATCTCTATAGTGTCACCCCTCAGCCTCTGACACTCTGGGGCAGGGGGAGAATTAGCCTCAGCCTCTTCCCTATAGCTCCAACCCTGGCAACAGCCTTAAATCCTTTTCTGAACATCTTTCCTATGGCAGGGTGACCAGAATTGAAGCAGTATTCCCAAAGTGGCCTAACCAATGTCCTGTACAGCTACAATAGGGCATCTCAATGCACTGACCAATAAAGACAAGTACCAAATGCCACCTTCACCGCCCTGTCTACCTGCACTCCAAGGTCTCTTTGTTGGGCAACACTTCCCCAGGACCTTACCATTAAGTACATAAGTCCTGCCTCTTCAAGCTAAGTATTCAGTTAGTTTTCATTTACTTGTGGGATGTGGGTGTCACTGGCTGGGTCATCCTGACTATTTCCTGTCTCTAATTGCCATGGAGAAGGAGATGGTGAGCGGCCTCGTTAAATCATTAGATGATGGTCTAGTGGTATTATTACTGCTGTTGAGGAGTACACAGCTAATGTTCTGGTGACGCAGGCTCAATTCCCACACGCTGCAGCTGGTGGAATTTGAATTCAGTTCAAAAACAAGACTAGTGATGACCGTGAAGCCGTTATCAATTGTTGGGGAAAAACCCATCTGGTTGA